GGAACTCTGTAAAAAATGGCTGTAATTCCTAAACGGTTAATGCAATATTTTTGTTAAACCCCTTGAATTAAAGCTGAAAGTCTACACTTCAGTCACATCTTGACTGCTTCATTTCAAATCCACTGTGGTGGTGTACAGAGGCAAAATTACCAAAACTGTGTCACTGTCCCAATATTTATGGACCTGACTGTATGTGTGTCAAACAAAGTCATGATTTCAGTGAAAAGTGACATGAGTTCTCAATTCTATACAAATTAGGTATGTGGCAGTAAAACGCCAAATGATTGGCTCAAATGATTCCTCTGACCAAACCTATGGTCAATGTGGTCTGACATTTCTTCAGTTCCCTGCTCACAACTTTTAGTTCCTACCTGCAATTAGTTCCAATTTACTGTTTGTAAAAATGAGAGGAAAACATAACAATGGTTTAATCTTATCTTGTCACATACGACCTCTCATTTCAAGGGGTATAGAACCATTATGAAGAAAAAGAAGGTTGGAATGATGTAGCAGAGATCACTTGTGCCTCTGGTGAGTGTACGTAGCTAGTATAGTTTGATTGCTTTGCTAATCTGCTAACTAGCACAAATCTGAGCATGTAACAATCAACAAGCAAAAACATCAGCAGTCGCTACATGCCCGCAAGAACACCTACCACAGGCAGTGGTAGCTCAGTGGTTTAGGCATCAGAATACTTATCAGAAGGTTGTGAGTTGAAATCCCAGCACCACCGAGCTGTCAAATCCCAGCACCACCAAGCTGACACCGCCAGGCCCATGAGTAAGGCCCTTAACCCTCAACTGCTCAGGTGCATAAATGAAATACCTTTTATTTCTGTAAGTCGCTCTGGATAAGGGTGTCTGCCAAATGCCATAAATATAAGCGACAAACTGCATGTGACACGAGAGACTTGTCACTAGCTAGCATGACAGTAGCACTAGGGTACGATTGCTATAAAACCTCATGAAGCTTGTGTTCACTTGGTGTGTTTTTAAAGCCTTTTACTTATTTACTTCAAAAAGTTCTTTGGGTAGTTAAGGGTTCTTTTCTGTCTAAAGGGTTTCTAATTGGATAATTGGAATTAATTGTAATTCTAACTCTATTATAGTATTCATAAATATTTAAAAGACACAATCTGAAGAAGAAAAAGAAAAAAGAGAGTCTAGTAAGGGAAATGACTATTTATATCTGCTATAATGTAAGTGATAACTTCTTTTGTGTACATCATTAAAAGTAACTATAAACGGATAAAAAGTAATGTGTTATTCTCTAATAAAAAAAAATTAATTGCTGACAAAGTGCTGAGGTGTAAGAGAAATAAAACACTTCATGATACCAATCCAGTGTTGCTCATTTTCCTGTAACAGCATACCCCAAGTGTTTTATTCCATACTCAAGAAAACACTCTCTCTTGGAGAAAATCTTCTGTCTGCTTAAGTAAGGGGTCTGTTGCATCTAAAAAGGCCCATAATTTATTATTTCTCAGGAGACTCGTGAGCCTTGGTTCCTCTCTACCTGCTTAAAGGACTCCTGTGTGCAGAGGAGATAAGTTCTCAAATTGAGCATTTTTATGTCAGTGTAAAACAAAAAAAATAGCAGGCTCAATTTTTCCATAACTCCATCCTTAATTGGAGTCTGGGGGCTGATGGCTTTTCCAGCCTTTACTTCTCCTCCCCGACTGTTTTCATCTGCTTTTGTTTTCCGCCTCTCTTTGTCAGAGTCTGCTGCCGAGTCTGTGTTGCAGCCGGATGTTTAGAGACGAGGTGCTGTGGAATGACTTTAGCTGTAAGAGGTGCTTCTGAGAGGCGTCTAGCTCCGACGGTGCGGTGTAGTGTTTCTTCTCAGCTTCCTGGGGCACATTCATGATGATGGATCACATGGAATGCTAATCCTGAGCTGTTATAACCAGACAAGGAGTTAAGAAGGAATAGCGTAGGATGTCAAGATTTGGCTGCAGAGAGAAGGGGGGTGACATCTTGTTCTCTCTGGATCGCCAATACAGGAGATCCAATTTCAACTAGACCTAGATGCTAACTCAAAAGTCCCTTTAAGGATTGTCTGTTAAAAATATTTTACATTCAAAGGAGAGTAGCAACTGAAGGGCTTCAGGAGAGCAAGAGACCAATCCTACCTTCATGAACCATCTCGTGTTTGAAAGTGAAAACGCCATTTTCATACACAGTTGACTAGGCGATGTTGTGCTGATGTGTTGGTTTTTATGGTTTAGCACATGTATAATAAAACTCCAGCTGCATGCCAAATGTACACATATGCATATTGTAGTGTGAGTAGTGAAGTGAAGTGACGTGACATGTGGCCAAGTATGGTGACCCATACTCGGAATTTGTGCTCTGCATTTAACCCATCCAAGTGCACACACACAGTAGTGAACGCACACACACACACACATACCCGGAGCAGTGGGCAGCCTTTTTGCTGCGGCGTCCGGGGAGCAGTTGGGGGTTCGGTGCCTTGCTCAAGGGTCTCACCTCAGTCGTGGTATTGAGGGTGGGAGAGGGCGCTGGTCATTCACTCCCCCCACCTACAATCCCTGCCGGACCTGAGACTCGAACCCACGACCTTCGGGTTCACCTTCGGGTTACAAGTCCGACTCTTTAACCATTAGGCCACGACTGTGTACATGGATGATGCCTTAAAACAACTTAAAAATGTGTGGAATGTGTTGGACACTTTACACTGTCGCAAACTAATTCACATAGCAAAAGGGGCGGGGCCATTAGGTGGCACTATGGTGTAAATTTTGCTGAAAACAGCAAGAATGCAGGTTCATCAAGGATGCAAATGAAAAGCAGAAATGTCAGTGATCAACTTGAGATGATACTGCCTTATAAAAATCAGGTACTACATACTCAAGTACAGTGTATAGTATAAATCAGGGTAACTCCAAACTCCTTCAACCTGAATGATTTGCCTTAAGTACTTTACTTAAAGTGCAACTTTAACTAGGCTTACATAAAGTGAAACTTCTGTAATAAAAGAAAAAACATGTACTTTAAAGTTGGTGAAATATATTAACATCTCTACTATTTTTTTTATTAGTGTAAACATGTAAAATTAACCCCTGGTCGAGAAACCCTGGTATAAAGTATATAGTGCAGAGTACACCATTTGGGACGCAGCCAGTTGTTAGTTTATTGTTTTTAAGACTTTTTGGTGGCTTTTTAATTTTCAGTGAAAAGTCAGGTCCAAGTCAGGCTGGAACGCAAAAAAAGAACCGCCGTCCATTTAAAAAAAAAAACCCAGCTGAACATTTGATGCAATGTACTCTGACTTGGCCATGCGTCAGCCAATGGCCAGTGACCAAATGGCCTTCAGTCATTCATACTAATGTTGAGCAAACTGATCACAGTTGTCAAATCGCATCTAGAACGGTTCAAACCAAAACTAACGAACTACAAATTGCAGCTCACAGTGAGCCTCAGCTTGGCACGCTCTTAGTTTGTGCACAGGTCTATTGGGTTACAGCATAAAATACAAATCAAGCTCCACCCACAAACACAGCTACAACAAACAAGCAATCACAGCAATCTTTTTTCTAATGGATGCCAAAAAGTGCTGGAGAAACAAACATACACAAATATAACAGGAAATTAGCAAGTAAGATCATTCACATTGTTTAAATGTGCTGAAGTGATCATCTACTGGTTGTTCTATTTTTGAGGTTTGATGACCATTTGATAACCATAAACATGTTTACGACCATCGTTATAAACATAACCATGGTTATCATGGTTATGGACCATGGACCATTTTGATAACCATCTAATTAATCAAAGCGGATTCCGTTTGCGTTTTGCTAGTTAGGCAGGGAGGCGGAGGTTGTTATAAATGGCTAAAAAATACACCAGTGGCAGGTGTCTCCTATAAGCTGCCTTTCAGATATGGATAAGAGGGAGAAGCTCGATCTTGCTCTCTTTCTCAGCACTTCCTTTCTTACACTTTCTCTGTTGTTAACAGGTGTTTTCATCTAAGGCAGGATGTTTTTGGACTCAGAGCAGATGGAGGTCCTGCTTCGTGCCTGTAGTTTGCCCAACCTGTAGTGTTAACCAAGTTCTTGATCACCTTGTTTGCAAACATTGTAGTAATTTGGTATGGGGGAAAAAGTCTGGTCATGAACTCCACTTGCTGCCTCCATCTTTTGTTTACAAACTGGTTAAATATCAGTTCATAACAGGTGATTCCAATTTACTGGCGGCAAATTTTTATTCCAACTTATCAGAAACCACACTTGACTCCACCTGTTTAATCAGTTCATCTTGGCCTTCATTGGACAATCTGTTATGGCTCCTGGAATGAAAACCTGCAGCCACACCGGGCCTTTATGGATAGGATAGGATCCTGTTCTATGCTATATACATGATGAATGAAGACAGAGTATGTGGAGGAGTGAACGTTTCCGTCCGTCATGTACACACAACTCCCACCTCACTCCAGATACACACACAGGTGCAAACTGTGGCGAGAGACCCGAGCAAAAGTTCAGAGAGATGGGACCACAGGAGAAAAGCATTGGTGTCCCTAGCACCCAAACACCCACATTCATCCCACCAGCTGAAACCTGAGCAGCACACAGAAAACATCTGCGCAGTTCACGACAGCACAACTATGAGCACACCAGGCTTAAATCACATTAGCAGAGCACTGGCAGGCCTGCTGAAGAGGAGTTTTGTTTTAAGGGGTGCGTGTTTTTCCCCCCACAAAACCTCTCCTGTTACCCGGAGTGTGTTGAGCGTGGCAGAAAGACAGACCTGCTCTCGGACTAGCCTGGCTGAGGCTGAGGTCAGGAGGCTGGTAATGAAAAGGCAGAAAGGAGGAAAAGGGAGGGGATCTCAGCGTTGAAAAGGTTTGACCCCTACAGGATGACCGCGGCTGATTGAGCTTGGCAGATTGAACAGTGTGGTGTTATTTATAAACTCTGGGCACACTACATGTCCTGTTAAATCAAACGAGTTCAAATGTCTAAAAAAAAATGACTGAGTTGAGGCATGACCTCACAGAGAGCACGAGCCTACACAAACACACCGGTTTCTACCGTAGAGAAGGAGCAGGAGACGGCGATTGGGCCAAGCAGAGTGAGAGAGAAAAAAACTCGGACAGGGTTGACGAGGCAGATGGTGAATTCTAGATTTGAGAAGAAAGCTCTAATGGGATGGTGTTAGTTTCTCAGCTTCTCACAACTGCAATTAACGCAAGATGAATTTGTTTATAGCATACCCACATGGACGTGACCTCATTGCTGTATTATGATTTTATTACAAGAATGATACTGTAGGACAAGCGGATATAAAGCAAGCTTTCTATCAGCTGTAGCTGTGGTCAGCTTAATCAACTTGCAGGATCACGCTCTTTCCACTGACTTTCTTTTCATTTCTAACAGGCTCTCGGAGGATACAATCCACAGGAAATATACACATTTGAAAAACTCTACCAAAGCATTTACTTTGTATTTTCAGCAAGTGTTCTCTAGAAACACGTAGGTGACACAGGAAGATGTTTAGCATGACGTAGCACGGAATGATGTGGGGTAGAATCAGAAAGTGGGATAAACGGTGAGGTGGGCACAAACTGATTAGTGGGGAGTCGGGAATCAAGTGCATATAAAATGAAGTGTCTTTCATGATGGAGATCTGTAAATCGACAGCTTTGTAAAAAGAGGGCGAACAGGTGAGAAGGCTTTTCCCCAAATTTTTTTTAGAGTCTGGCGCTTAATGCTTCCAGCAATTTATCTCAGAGACTCTGCTCAAATCTTTTGCACACTTTTCTGGTTACAAGCTTCAGAAGGTTGCAGGTTGCACTCTTATTGGCTCTGTGCATATGCACTTGCTTGTATATGTGCTGATGCATTTACATTTCACTGGCTTAAAGCATATAGCAGTTTATCTAGACATAGTCTCAGCTCTTTTGTACACTTTCCTGGCCACAAGCTTCAGAATGTTGATGAATGATCTGATTCACTCTCTGCAATTCCGTGCACCAAAACAAACAAAACAAAAAAAAATATTTGATTAGTCAGAAGGTGTTGATTAATTTTCTATAACAGCAGCTCTGACAGTAGGGCAGCTACAAATCTCAGGTTTATATCAAGTTTATGTTTATGCTTTGCTGATAAGTGGAAGGACTGTTTATAGCTGCTGTAAGCGAGAACTAACTTGTTTCGTGAATTTTCCACAACAAATGCAACTATAAATGGATCAAATCTATGATGTGTCATTTATTAATTTAAAAAAAACATTGTAATTGTTGGCAAATTGGTGTGGTTTAAAAAGATTAAAACACACTGGGGATGTACTGTGATAAAAACAAAAAAGAAACAGTAACTCTGCTTCATCACACCACCCTGCTGTTTATTACTATAACAGCAGCACAACACTGAGAGAATATGCTAGAAATCTGGATTGTGAGGCTGATCCAGACAGCACTAAAATTCAAAACTGCTGAAAAAAAAAACAGTAGGCATTCTGGCAGGAGTTTTCTCAGGGATGGAGGGAAATAAATTGCAGATCTAGACAAAAATGAATTTAGAGTGACACCTGTAAAGTGTAGTATTAGCCCTAATGGTGATTGAACACAAATGACGAGATCTGGAAAGGACACACACGGTTGTCCTTCATATGCCACGAAGCTCAAGGGCGCATGACGTGACCGTTGTGTGTGCAGTAACTGCTGTGATGAAAAGGCTCTGTGAGTGACACGGTAATGATAGAAAGCAGACGGAAGAGAGTGCCTGAGATCTGGCTCTGAAACGTCCCGCGGCCTGCGCTGACCACAACAAGAGCCGGCAGAACCGCCACCACATAGGCGTGGAACTCACCCAAGTCCTTTAACTGCCATGCAGCTAACTTATACAAAGAGCTATTTAGGCTAAGCACGCTGGCAGCACATAGGAAAACCATAAACTACAGTCGTTTATGACTAGAATATGAGGAATGAGTGCAAAATTGCCTGTTTGGCTTTCACTCATCCTGTTCTTCAGAGTATCTACAGAACAGCCTTCTCTCATTACACTGATACACTCATTTCTGTTCAGCGCAAGACTTTCAGAGCCTCGAGATCCGAAACAGATCTTTACTGTCACAGAAGGAACATTTATCAGCTCCTGATGAAAATGTTTGGATTTAGACCGAAGCCACAAGAGGAGCAAGAGACGAGCGCAACATAATCTCAGTGCTGCTAGAGTTTCCCAGGACGAGTAGGAGCTGAGCCGTCATGGCAGCACACGTACACAAAATAAGACGAATTTTAAATTATTCATAAACTGTTTGACAATAAACCATTTTTATGTGTTGCAAATTTTATATATAATGTCACATGACAATAACGCCAAGGTACGATACTTATAAATAAATGTAAAAATCTGTCATCTGCAAACAATAAAATGAAGAAAAGGAGATGAAGGCGAGAGAAAGGGGTATTTGAAAAAATTACAAAAATAAAAAAAGCCTGCATGATAACAGCTAAAAATGATAAGTCATTATTTTGCTCAAAATTGCAATTTTTTTTAGCTATTATTTTTATAATTGCACTTAATTATGAATTCCTTTACATATTATTTTAACTGGAAGATTTTTATAAGACTGTTCCTTAGTCACATGCTTAAAATAGTATAATCAGTGACG